TGAACTAAGGAGCGAGCTTCATAAAGAGGAATCTTGAACTAAACGTTACACGCCCTAGACGAAGGCGTCTACGTCCCTCATATGCGCGCTTAGTATATGTAAATCCCCGTCCAACCACAGTTACAGTAGGTGGTATCGATCTTCGAGAAGTCGGCTCTTTGCACACCGAGACACTCCACCCCCTTACACTTCCCTTCCCCTTAGCGCGATGGTGTCAGCCCAGCTGCCCAGTAGCCCCTGGATAATCATCGGCATCTCTCCCCGTAATGTACATACTACCTACATACATACAGACGAACTTGAGAAAAGGTTTCTGTGGGGATTTGGGGTACATGAAAGCAGGGATTCAACCCCGTGGAGTGGACCGGCTGAGCAACCCCCACGTCTGGACGTACGATATATAATACATACGGAGTCTAGGACCTGCTGTTTAAGAACTTAGAGTCATTAATACCGACAGGTGAGAGACACAAGTCTAAGACTCTTGCGTGGAACACAACACATGATCTTGTAACTCTGGGACCTAGGTATTTCCCTCTTGAATCTCGACGACCCTGTAGCATTACATACGTTAGGTACCTATGAGGCATGTATGTATGTATGTAATATACATACATATCTCCTTTTATTTCCGACATGGTAGCCCTCTCTGTTGGTTGAGAATCAGCCGAAGTTACAATTTTCAACACGTAGGTTCGTATCACAGGCATAAAAAAAGATCTGGCAGCTTACCACGTCTGCGGGCTCTTGAGCATGGTAGTGTTTGGGTAGGCGATTAGCAACGTGTGGCAAATGACTCTTCTCATCCAGTCATCCACTTTGGCCCCCCCTTTATTAACGATAGGTGTTAAATAAAGGGCGTTTCTCAAATCGCGATTCCGACCCTACGTATTAGTTGCTATTTTGGTTGGATCAGCTAATGCAAGGATCTACTCCACCCCACGCGTCTCATTCATATCAAGCACGTATAGTTATGCTATTGGGCTTACAGTTTCATTATCGAGGGCACCGTAACACATGGCTAGACTGGTTTGCCTAACATCCAATGGAACGTATGAACAACTCTACACTAGAGGTTTCTCACGTCCATCACACGCCGAAACTGAACTTGAAAGGGTCGCGCCGCTGGGGTTACCTTGTCCAATAAATATATCGCCATATCAGGATGCTAATGGTCAACTTCTAAGCAAACAGCCCATAAGGACAGCCCATAAGGCGCGAATAAAGGCCAGCTTGGGTTTCAAAGTAATAATAACTCGATATGTACGTACGTACTGCTAAGGCGGAGATAGTGTATGAGCAAGGGTTCTCCTGTCCGCACCCCACACAGTCCCCCTCCACACAGGACGAAATAGACAGGACAGTATCGTGGAGAGTTGTCACACTCGAAAGTGACGCTTAGGGTCCTTGGTCTTAGCCCCCAAAGGCCGAATTAGGCAGTGCACATCATCCATCTCAGTATCTCAGTAATCTCTCGGTGGTTTATTATTCAATCACCAGACCGGGTTGCGCAAGAGCACGACTTACACCATTTTATTCGTTCAGCCTTTTCCCTATCGCCCTCTTAACCATACCACATCGTCATATCGTCATATTCGTAGAAGTTGCGGTGTAGGAGAGGCATCGAGCACAAGGCTCGCGATACCGTTGCAATTGTAACCCTTGGAATGAATGACTATTCGTCGACTTTCTGTCCCTCTTTTTCCCTTTCTCTTTCTTGGACCCCTCGAAGCCGTTGACGGACAATGCGCCCGGTCGATCATATTCGATCCGATTCGCGCTTCGCGCTTTTCACATGTTGCTGCATTACCCCGTTGATTTTCCGATTCTCCCTAGAGATGGGGGGGTTTTTTTTGTTCCTCTTCACCCTTCTCGGCGCCGACCGGCGTTCACGGCCTCAGTCGGCAGGCGAATTCACTCTTACCATCATCAGGCAACACAATTGTATGTAAATCAGCTGATCGGCTTCCGCCTAGTGTACTGTAGAAACCTGCTCACAGACTGCTCGAGGATAGGCGCCAGTCTTGTGTAATATCAGGCCTGCAGCCGGGTTGCATCCCTTCGCACGTATCGAAATCCGACTCCTGTAATCGCCCGTCCCTGCATGAGATGTCCTCGTTAGGGCCAAGGTAAGATCTCACTTAATATCCTTAATATACCTACCTAAGGTAAGTTAGGTAGGTAGATAGGTAGGTAGGTATACATTAGGAAGGCAAACACGAGACGAAATAGAAAAATGGCCCTTGTAACGAGGTTGGTCACCTAAGGCTAGCGATAACGTAACCCGGGGCGCGCGGGGGCCAGTCATTTACACCAGCTGTATTACCCCTTTAAACATCCGGGATAGAACCTACGTTCTATTGGGCTTCGGAAACCTCTCGTAGGCGAACTATGGTCGAAAATACGTACGTAGTTACGTACAAGGTAGATACACGTAGTTGTGCATTATCAGAAGGGATGAACAGTTGTAAGTTTATCCAAATTTAGGTATTGTACCTAGGTTAAGTCTTAAAGTTTCAGTCTCTAATGATAAACCGGGACCCCGCAAGACTTAAGGTTATCGTACGCGTAATGAAAAAGAAAAGTCTGGGGTTGTGAAGTTATGGTTAATCCATTTATGACATATCTCTGAGCTCACTTATCCCTCACCTTACACCTTTTTTTCACATGCGGATAATAATACTCGGGAATTCCAGGAACCGGAGACATGGCCCAACAAAATACTTAACCTATATTTTATGCATAATAAGAACATGTACAATACAATGAATGTTCCTCACGTCATAATTTTACCCTATCAGGAACCCTAAACTTACATACATTCAGCCGTATGTATGTACCAGCTGTCTATTAGTTCAGCGCCTGAGGTTATGCGCGCAGTATGTAAGACGAGACGACCTACTCTTAACTTAGCCTACAATGGAAAGTATCACGTCAGCGGAATCAAGTAGAAGCGTATTTTCGAATTCAGGTCGCCTTGTTTAGGATTCGAGGCTGAGCAATTACACGTAGACGCCCCCCAATAGGCTGACTGCCCCCCCTATTTCCCACTCTCACGATATACAGTACATACTAGTAGTAAGAAACCGGTAAATAGGAAGGTATACAAAGGTAGGAAGAGGCTACGCTACGCTAAACTCTTCTGCTTACCCTACGAAGAATAATAGCGGCCCGCGGCCGTCGTTGTCATTGGAGCTTGCGCATCTACCGTTGGCAGGTTGCATAGGAGAGAGATGATGCCTCCTCCCACCGCTTCTTCAGCGCAACCCCAGGATTGGACCACAGCTTTTCGGGGACGTCCGGTAATAATTTTTTTTTCTTTCCCCTTCTATGTATTGTACATAATGTACCAACTTGCTCGCAGGGCTGACGGTGACGCACTGCCGCTGTGCCTCCTGCTTGTCATTCCCGGCGTCCCACTTGGCAGCTAAAATCTTCTCTAGCCTCTGCAACTATGCATACTATATCTGGTTGTTACGAGAGAGAAAAAATGTAAAAGGTCTACCAAGATTATTTTTGTGGGGGGGACGCCTCTTCTCCCCCATCCCATCCTTATACGCTAAACACATTAACTATTGTAATAGCTTCCTTTTTGCGTATATTTATTCGGCGGTGAGCATGGATATATTAATAATAACGTAAGTAACTTAAACAAGAGATGAAAATTTTCTTTAAATTTCTTTTCACCCTCTATCTAGTGTGTCAGTCATTATATGCGGGCGCCCTTTTCATATCGAAAATATTACTACTACGTGTACATCTGAGGAATTTGTACATATAATGCTTGTCCGCCTTGCCGTCTCGCTGTAATAAGCCGTACCTTTAGAGGCGATCTGGAGAAAGAGCCTTGGCAAAAATTCTAGTAGCCCGCCCCGAGCCGAGACTCCCCCTAGGTTATCACTCTCTCCCTTAATTTCCCCATGTCTTTAAGCCTGGTCCCCTTATTTGCTTCCGGTATGCGGGGTGTTCCAATGAGTGACTACAGGGGGGCTCTGCTGCGCGTAGTAATCTGAGATACGGGCGACGGTAGGCTTATTAGTCACTTGTGTAGGTAGGTATCCCTCGATAATTATAGGTGACTCCTACTTGTGTAACAAAAACATAGAAAATAACTTGCTTGGGTTGTATCAGTGGAGGTGAGACTTTGAAATCCTGGTCACTCTTTTTCAGAATCTTTTAGAGCTTGTACATAACGGGCAATGCATGTCGATACCCGCTCTCATATATCTCCTGGACCTGGGCTTGGGACACACGGGATTTGCTACTACGGGGTAATTTTTGAACCCGAAAACTTGGGGATTTGTCACAATCATCAAGCATATCGCAGGTTTACGAAGTCAACAAAGTGGTGTGAGAACAATGTTTCTTGGGTGTTCAAAGGTCTTGACCAAATCTTATTGTCTGTGCTTTATGTCATTTACCATTATCAACTACCAATATTGTAACATGCTGCCTGTCTTTTTGTGACCAAGTAACCGCCAAGCCTGTACCAAGATATTGGCCCGAAATTGAGTTGAAACGCGCACACCAGCAAATAGCTCTTTTGAACCCCTTGAACGCGCGTAGTTGAGAAGAGAGGAAGTAGATCGCCCGAGGTTTTTGATTGCCGATCCAGCTAAGCGCCGCAATGCTCCAAACACGCAACTCGCTGTGTTCGCCTAACCCATCGTCTATGAGGAACGAAAATCAACCCCGATATGCCAACGCTGTGAAACTGAGAGGAAATATGAGAAAACAAAAAGAGACGTGGTTAATCTTTGTAGTTCCTCTTCCGACGATTCTGATCGATGAACGGAAACCTAGGAGTGGGGAAGCTTCATTCCAAAACCAACTGATGACACGAGATCTAACCGCCGATGAGGGTCTCAATTCTATAAGTTCGTGAATCCGCCTGAAAACACGGGAAGCCCAAATGTAAATCCGCCGTCCGTCCATTGTGAAACTGCTTGAATTACTACCGTGAAGGTAGTGTAATTAAACAAGCCGAATAGTAACCGCTATTCTCCAAATAAAAAACATGTCGCCACTGGAACGCCACCTCTTGTCTATGTTAACCTCTATAATTAAGTCGTGATTCATGCCGCAATGATAGTAACAGTGTTTTGAATTGACAGGCCTACATCCGATCTATCAGGTCGCCACCTGCCAAACTACCGCTTGCTGAACTTCGGCCGCTAGTATTATATCCATCGTTGGATAGGAGATCGTGAACTGCGACTTTTGGTACCTGAGGAACAGGAAGCTTTCTACTGCTATCGGGCCGGCTGATGATATCCGTTAGGGACAAGCCGCTGGGCCGAGGACCTATGCTAGTCGGTTGCGAGGTAGGTGGGTAAGTGGATCCTTCGAGGTGAGGTTCCATCGGTGCTAGCGCCGGCGTATGCCCCAAGGTCAAATTACGTAGCGTTGGTAGCTCAATACCAGCGTACGGCCGAAGGCGCGGCGAATGAGCCGGGGTTGCTAGTGGCGTGTGGTCCGGGGTAGGGGAGAGAGAATCATGGGAGAAAGTTGGCGATGATGGTGCGGTAGAGTTCGGCGAGTTTGGTCTCGACCGCTTAGCATGCCGAAGAGCGTGGTAATGGTCGTCGTGGTCATCGTGCGACTGAGACCTCGACATATGGTAGGCAGAGAGCGAAGGCAGATGGCCACGCGAACTGTGGAGACTATTAGAGTAATAGGGGTGAGATCTTGCCGAGTGGTGATGAACACTCATATGTTCGCGCTCGATCTGGTTTGTGGCATTAGCTAATATGCCGATGTCCATGCTATGGCCATGATGCAGGCCGTTGCCACTCATATGTCGGTTGTAGTGATGAAGAGGCCCCGGATGCGGAATGGTGTATGTGGAGTAAGAGTGAGGCGGCGAGACGTTTGGGGAAACAAGCGTAGAGTTAGGAGCCGATTTGATAGATCTTGGGTTGGAGGGGGGAGGCATCATGGAGTCTGGCGTTAATGCGTGACCTAATCCATGATGCGCAGCTTGTCCCGACTTGTTTCCTCTTCTCGAGTTAGGATTGTTATGTATCCTCGAGTGACGGGTGAGTTCGTCCGAGCGGGAGAACTTCTTGCTGCATCCAGGGTATTGGCATGCATGCGGCTTCTCACCAGTATGTGTCCTGATATGTCTGGTTTGGTGTTCCAGTCGGTGGAAAGCCTTATCACATAAAGGACACTTATACGGTCGTGGCAATTCGTTTGTGTTTTCGGCGGGTTGACCACCGGGCAGAGGGCCGTTCGGTCGTATAACAGTAACGGTAGCCATATCAACGTCTCCGTCCGGATTCACTTTATGTCCAGTCGAGTTACTGTCGTTGGTTGTGGTGGTAGACTCAGGATTCAGCAGGTTGGAAAAATCCACCGCTGACTGTGAGCGTTGCATGTGATCGCCAGCCAAGTGGGCACTGCCTCTTCCTTGCTATAATTGTTTTTCAAGGAAGTGCAGCGTATACTCTGGCAAGCTGGATGTCGTAATAGCCAGCTTGACACAAATTCAAGTCTTCTCTTCTTTTTTTTTTTCTTTTTTTCCTATTCTTTCCTTGATGCCTCCTTTGAAAATTATTAAGTCGTCAGTCTTTGTCTTTGTTAGTGGCAGTGATGCAGGTTAAGGTTAAGGTTCAGGCTGTTGTTTTTGTTGTAGTTTGTTGTGTTGTGGTATTTCGAGGACGTACAACAGCAAAGTTCATAACAACCTTTTTTTTAAGTCGAAGTAAGCCGGGTGTAGGTTGCGGGTGTGGTACTGGTGCGGTAGAATTTCGAAGGGAAGGCCGTTTTGGGGGGATGGGGGCACTGGTATGATTTTAAATGAACTACGAGAGCGGGCGGGTCGGAAAAGTTGCAAGGTGCCAAAACGTGCTACACTGGGGCGGTGGGTGAGTGGGTGAGTGGGCGAGTCGAGTAAAATAAAAATGCGAGTACCTAGGGTACTGTACAATACTGTACAGTGTAATTGTTGGAACTGTAGGTACCTATAGACTTGTAACAATTTTAATCCATCTCACCCATTTCACCCCTCCGGGGCCCTGCCTTACAGAATCTCCCTTAGTGTGGGGGGAGCCAGTAGACGAACGAATATGGCCTGGGGGAGTTGGAACCCTGAAAGCTCCATTCTGAAGGAGGCGCACATGTATTATATGATTGGTCAGTTTTCAGGCTACCTGTTGGTTAGTCGGTTGGGCAGTGGGCAGTGGGCAAGTCCTGAAGAGGGGCCCCCCCTGGAGTATTGTACATCGCACGTTACTTCGCCATAGTTGCGCACGATACGATAATATATACGTACCCTACATAGCATAGTACGTATTTGGAAGTACGTATTTGGATTTTGAGGTAATTGGGGAAGGGGGAGGAGAAACGTGGAGGCCGCTGAACCTACTGGAAAGATTTGCACAAGGGGGTAAAAAGAGAATAAGTCAAATCATTATCAATGTGCTACCTCCTGGCTGGCTTAGGTACTTTGCATGTTATGCATCGGTATTATCGGTATTGAAATTGTTGTTGTTATTTCTACCTACTCTACCTAGTAGCTGGGTGGTCTGGACCAAGCCTCGAATACTCTAATCTTAGCCTATCTTCTTTCGCGAGCGTCCTCCCACCTGTCGTCTCTGTCATATATGCAGTGTATGCATCTTTCATAGGACGGGGTGTATGCAAAGATAGAGATGGTGTGTGAGATTATTCCGCGTGTCAAGGTCAGAGGATTTCATGTGTGAACGTGTGGACGTGTGGACATGTGGTTAGGAGTTCTGTCACTTAGAGTCCCCCGGCTCTTAAGGGCACGGAAAAGCAGTTCCTATGTAATAAAAAAAATAAAAAATAAAAATAAAAAGGAGCCCAGACAACCCAGAAAAGCCCACAGATTACTGCATAGACAGGTATGTAAGTAACAGGGGGTATGTCTAGCAAACGTAACAAAAGGACAATCAAGCCACGAATAGCCCTTAATGAACACAACACATGGTCTTCCCTCACTTCTATCTTCCTATCTTCATCCTAACTACTATGGCATAATAATCCGCAGTCCACCTCCAGCGGCATCTTCCATATCCATATCTAGATCTACACATTGAATTGTCCAGATTCGTCTTTTCCATCTCATTTTAGTATTATGTCTAGTGTCGACCTTTTCGTCCTGTTCGTCTTATCATTAACTGCTACTAATAAGAAGACTTGAGGCTTGTTGAGATGGAAGGTAACCGGCATGCATTATTTGGATTACTTAATAACCGCATATGCCGCACGCGATTCCCACCTGAATGGATCAGGAGCCCATCGTACCAAGCTCGTACTATTCATTCTCATCTTACTAGCCTCAATGTAAGTCATCCACCTGGATGGCCTGGGTAGTGGCATAGTACGACCGAGATGTGTGGGGAATAAAAGGCAAGGCGGCTGGCTGTGCGGCAACGACTAGCTGCTTTTGATAATTCTCTCGCGCCCCGAAAACTGCCTTGGTTTCTTTTTTTCGTCAAGGCGAGGGAAAGGGGGCAAAAAATAAAATAAAAAACTAATAAGTGATTAGATTAACAAAGGATCTTCGTCATTCAAAATAAGCAAACCATTAACTTATGTTGTCTTTCTCCCTATTATCTAGTGTAAGTGGGAGCTGACTACAATGACACCTTCTCCGGAGGCTACGAGAAAAGAAGGGGAAAAAATTATCGCAAAGGCCCGCGATAAAAAGATATGGAGAACGTGGGGCCGAGCTCGGCCGCATTCGACGGGTTATGCTTCTTAGTGCGTGATAGATAAGAGCTATCTTACCATGGTCGACTCGGCAGTACAATTGAGAAGTTTAGTACAGATGGACTCCGACAAGTGGATCAAGAAGCGCACTAGAATTCTTAACGGAACGCAAGATGCTGGCTGACATAAGAAGACGTGCAGACACGACACCTGGACAACTTGTAGATGACCACAAAAAAAAAAAACAAAACAACGAAACAAGCCCAGCTAGCCCCTGAGCCCTGAACGCAAGTCAGCCAACCAACTCGGAATGTACAGGCTCGATTACGAGAGCACTGCGTAGCTTTCTTAATATATTCATGCGAAACAGAGGCTCTCAAGATAGCAGATAGGCGACTCGGGGTTTGATCTTCGCAATCTTTCTCTCTTCTGGGTTCCTGACTCGTCCTAAATCTGGGGTTAGGGGTTAGGAAAGTCACCATACATTTACATTGCATTGGACAACTGGACCTACCGTACCCCAGAGCTTCTCCCCACAGGCTATCTATCTACCCTAGTAAGATCTGTATATACTTATTCTATTGTAAGACATTCATGCCAAGTGTAACTTGTATGATACATAGATAGCGCGTAATTCAAGTTTTGCCTTGTTCCAGATACTACTTTTTTCCTGGGGTTGGCCTTGCTTCTTATCAGGTACGCTGCCATTTCACAAGGTCAACATTCCACTAAAATTCAATAAGTAGTATAGCTTGTATTATCGAATACGTAGGCCGGGACCTGTTATCACCAGATCCACGGTTTGCACATGCTCCCTTGAGAGTGGCTTATGATAAGGTCTTACACGTGCTGACGACAACTAGGTAATATGAACGTGATCGCACAGTTAATAATCCCCAAGTCTCGGTAATACTACTGGCATGGAAGAAAGATGTCGATGAAGGAAGCAGGTTTTCTCCTACGGCATCTCTCGGTAAGGAGCAGAATATTGATGTAATTGAAGTTTGAATCCTCGTGCCAGTTTACCGAAAGCCCAGCCTATGCCAAGCTTTTCTCGAAACGTGGGGGTCCGTATGAATAAAGAAGAAGGCAGCAAGGCTTTCTACACCTTTTACTGTGTATCATGTGATGAGTCGATTCCACCTTAAACAAGGCATAAAATTGGATGTGTGCTATGCGTCGTAGAATACGTCTGAAAGAGGTATAAAATAGAACATAGCTCATCAGTTGGTCGCCTTACGCGTATATTAATATCGAAAGATTCATTACCGTCCTTTGCTCATGGGCGGGTTCGCGTCTAATTGTCACTCGACATGTCATTTATCTCTAACGACAGACCGATTGCTACGTCTTCTTTCAGCCCACCCAAGATTAGTGTATTACACCAAGACTGGCAAATGTTAGTGAAGCTTTTTATTATTCTCATGTGGTCCCAACAACCCATTAAGTTTGTATGCAGCTATACGTAATAATGCGTAGACATAGGAGTAAGTCCGGGGAAAGGCGAGAGTAGCGTCGAGGTCAAACCCACTTTATCCTGGGGAATATACAGTAGCTTCAACTTCCAATAATTAATTTAATGACTATGGCTTTGCTCGTAAATTCCAAGGGGCCTGATATTGACATTGTAAACATGAGGAGTTACGTATGAGACAAACCATCTCATGTACTAAAATGAGCAACTCACATGCACGTAAACCATCAAGATACGCAAGATACGCACAGTATAAATACTTAATTCGTTACACAGGCGTGTTTCCCCACAAAGATACTTAATACTTAAACTTTCCACTGATCCGGGGTTGTAGATCCACAGATAAACTAAGTAGATACTTTATTAGGCTTAAGGCTTTAAGGTCTAGACAATGTTCTCATTTCCCAGAAAAGCATACCGAAAAGCACCTCTTTGTCCATCTTAATTGCGCAAACGAGCCTTGCTGTTGCCAAGTTAATTTGAAATCTGGAACAGACATCACGATAATAATTAACATGTTTATTATACCTATACATAACTAGGAGATAATTAATTAACTAAGGGTTAGCAAACAGTTATATACCTCCTACACACAGACATCATATCATCTATGCTGCAAGGAGTAAACAGCATTTTAAAGTGAAGATCAGGTCCTTAAATGTTTAACGCAGGGACCCGTCCAAAGGAATTCTAGCAATCAAATAGCATGATCGCATCATAGGCCAACATTCCCACAGGTATAGCAGCTCAAATGATAAATACAGTAATACTAGGTATGTAACCATACCAATGCATAACAATGGATGCCATGGTCAACTACCTAACCTACTACCTATGTACAAACAGCTCATTTAGGCGTAAGAGGGGATTCTTAGAGATTCTCTTCCTACGTAGAGCTTGCTTCATAAGTGATAACAGAGCTCCCTGCCTTTCCCACAGAAGACTCATCTACGCATACGTAATATAGAAAGGCGGAGAGCGGCGCTTCTCCGCAACAACTCTCTCCGCAGCTTAATTCCCGTTGCATATTCCGGAGTACATTCTAGAATAGAATATAAAGTGAATGGTAGCAAACGCACATAGGGTCCCGCGATGTCTTGGCAAGGCAAGATTAATCAACCGCCGAACGAGTTTCCTGTCAATCGGGCCACCCTCTGATGTTTGAGTCGGCCCTTAGCTATATCGTGGGGCGGAGAAAGACTCGTCCTCGACTCGTTGAATATGTATCACCAGCCAACATATATGCATACATACGAGAACACCAAGTAACCTACGAGTCAGGCCGGTAGCATCCAGTACACTGTGCCTCAATGCGAACCTGATGGTGCGTGAT